GGCCCAAGTTCAGGACCCGGCACTTGGCCTTGTTGAACCTCATACAGTTGGTCTGGGCCCATTGATCCAGCCTGTCCAGGTCCCTCTGCAGTGCCTTCCTACCCTCGAGCAGATCAACACTCCCGCCCAGCTTGGTGTCGTCTGCAAACTTACTGAGGGTGCACTCGATCCCCTCATCCAGATCATTGATAAAGATATTAAACAAGACCGGCCCCAGTACTGAGCCCTGGGGAACACCGCTCGTGACCGGCCGCCAGCTGGATTGAACTCCATTCACCACAACTCTCTGGGCTCGGCCATCCAGCCAGTTTTTGACCCAGCGAAGAGTCTACCTGTCTAAGCCGTGAGCCGCCAGCTTCTCTAGGAGAATGCTGTGGGAGACGGTGTCAAAGGCCTTGCTGAAGTCCAGGTAGACCACATCCACAGCCTTTCCCTCATCCACTAGGCGGGTCACTTGGTCATAGAAGGAGATCAGGTTGGTCAAGCAGGACCTGCCTTTCATGAACCCGTGCTGGCTGGACCTGATCCCCTGGTTGTCCCGCTCATGCCTTGTGAGCGCCCTCAAGATGAACCGCTCCATAATCTTCCCCGGCACCGAGGTCAGGCTGACAGGCCTGTAGTTCCCCGGATCCTCCTTCTGGCCCTTCTTGTGGATGGGCGTCACATTGGCAAGCCTAGAAGAGTTGTCTTTTCTCTAATGGAAGTCTAGGCAACCAGAGTGGGGTCCAGTCAGAGGTTACAACCACCTAAATCTAGGTGCTTGAGCTGTTTTACTCTGCAGAGATGCAGACATTATGCCAGTGCCTAAAGAGTGATTGAGCTGTCCAACCACTAGATACAGGATTCAGATGCGCAATGCTGGCAGTTAGCGCCATTTTACCCATCATTGGGTATCCTGGGTATCACACTGAGAAGCAAGAAGGGTACAAATCTCTCTGAAGTGTGTCATATTTGCCAGCCCCATGTAGTTGGCTTAGATCAACAGAGTGTTTCAAATGGCACTAGCGAAAATACTTTTACGAAAGTGAATCCTGCCCTACCCAGATGCTACTGCCCTGCAGGGATCTGATTACATGAACACAGGATAACGTAGCAAAATCAGATGCCTCAGTGGTTTTCACACCCTTTTTACAGTGAGAAAGAAGTGTGTATGCTGGACCATTCTGATGAATTCTTTGAGACTCTGGAAAAGGTCTGGAGCCACCTCCATAAGACATACCATAGCTAAGAAATTTGGCTTTCCAAGAAGGATCTTCAGCAGGGGTTTCAGACTGACTGACCAGACATACTTGAGATCCACAAGCAGGAAGTCCATGCAGACATGAGATGGCATGAAGATGGCACATGCCACACTACTCCATGCTAAAAGGCCCTTTGCCTCACTCACTTTGCCTAGTTCCTCCATGTTAGGTAACAAAGCAGGACCTATTGCTTCCTAAAGAAAAGTTGATGAGAAAGTCACACCATTGCTATTAGTTTTTATGATGTTGGGGTACAGGGTGAAAAAAAATTCCCTGGGTTGATCAGGCAAGCATTAATATGGGGTAAAACAAGCACGATCTGAACAAGCAAAGCAAATGTTAACAAATTGGTTCTAAATATGTGTTGCAGAACTGAAGTTTAAAAAAAACCTCAAACCCTAACTGAACTGTTGCCAACAGCAAAAATAACTCTCCCCAACTAAGAAATCTGCAAATATTAAAAGTAGGATGTGTTCATTTTCAGTTTCTGTTAAACAGACTGGATGAAGAGCCTAGTTGCTCAAGCATAATCATTTTTATGTCTTTTTAGCTGAATTCACTTTTGGTCAGCTTCTTGCCTGCTACATGCAAAATACACATTCTTGGTCAGAAGAGGGTCCTATGTCCAGAATTTGCATGAATGGAGTCACATGAATGCATTAACATTGACCCAACATAAAGATCTGCTGTCAATCAAAAAAATGGAAATGAATTTTCATGAAGGTCACACCCTATTTTTTCATAGAATCTGACAAGAGTTTATGGAAACAACTGTGAATGCTCTAACCTTTCAGTTCTTTTTTTTTTAATTACAATTCCAATTCATATTAATTTTTCTCTCTAAAACTTTAGAACTAGTTTCAATGAAATTTCTACACTTGATTCAAAGGCAGGTTATGTTCCAAATTTTATGAAGTCATAAATACTGTGAATGAAATTTTGGATTCATTGAAGTAAATTGCAAAACTCCCTTTGACTTCAAGAAGTTCAGGAATCTAAGTTCTATTCTCTTCTAACATTTTCTTGAAAATCTATATTCTCTTACCACTGGCTTGGAATTTCTCTACATAAATATTAACCTATACGTTTCTCTCTTTCTTTACATATAGGTGTACAGGGAGCGAGAAAGAAGCAGAAATACGTATGTTAAAGCACAGTGTCTAAGATGAAGATTATTTTTTTAACAAACAACTTCTGATATAAAGGTGGTGCTGAGGGAACTGGCCAGTGTCACTGCAAGGCTACACTATAACATCTTTGAAAGGTTGTGGCAATCATGGGAAGTTCCTGATGACTGGTAAAACACAAACATCAGACCGATCTTCAGGAAAGGTAAGAAGGAGGCTCTGAGGAACTACAGACCAGCCATTCTCACATCAGTCCCTGGGAAGGTTATGGAGCAAATCCTCCTGGATTCTTTATCTAGGGCATATGATGGACTGGACGTGACCGGGAGCAATCAGCATGGATTTACAAAGGGCAACCCTGCTTGAGCAACCTGATAGCTTTCTGTGATGAGATGATCAGCTATGCAGCTGATGGGAAAGCAGTGGGTGTCATTTACCCAGTCTTTACTAAAGTTTTCAGGATGGTCTCTTTAAGCAAAGTGGTGATACGGTTTCAATAGGTGGACTATAATGTGGATGGAAAATTAGCTGGAGTGCTGCACTTAAAGGGTTGTGATCAATGGTATGAAGTCCAGCTGGCAGTGGTGCTCCTTGGGGGTCACTATGGGGGAAGATATCTTTATTATCAATCTGGACAATGAGATAGAACGTATCATGAGAAAGCCCATGGAAAACAGCAAAATCGGCATGCTCAAGGGCAGGGCTGCTGTTCAGAGGGACGTCAAGAGGCTGGAGAAATGGGCTGACTGGAACCTCACAAAGTTCAAGAAGGGCAAATGCAAAGTCCTGCACCTGGGGTGGGTGTCAGGCAACAAAACTGTCTGGGGAGATCAGCTGTGCAGAAAAGGGCCTGGAGGGCCTGGTGGATAAGTTGAGCAATGAAGGTCAAGTGCATTATTGGACTGCATTAGAAAAAGTGAGGTCAGCAGGTTAAGGGAAGTAATTCTTCTGTGTTTAGCACCTGATACTGCATCCAGAGTATTCTGTGCAGTTTTGGGATGCCTAACACACACAAGATTTTGAGAAATCGGGCAAGCCTGCTTCAGGGCCACTAAGATGATTAGGAAGCTAGAGCACACAACATAGAAAGAAAGGTTTGGTAATGTAGGTTTATTCAGGCAAGAGAAGACTAAGGGAGTGGATTTTACTGCTGCCTTCAGCCAGCAAGAGTATTTTGTTCATCTAGACATAACATCTGCAACACAATTAAATGTTTAATCCATTTGTCTTCACATCACTCCAGGATATAAACTCTGATTCTGTTAAGTCACACACCAGTACAGGTCTGGAGTGGCTGGCTGGAAAGCAGTTTTGCAGAAAAGGACCCCAGGGACCTGGTGGACAAGCTGACCATGAGCCATCCATGTGCCCTTGTAGCAAAAACCAACTGCCTCCTTGGCTGCATTAAGAGCATTGCCAGCAGGTTGAAGGAGGTGATCCTTCCCCTCCAGTCAGCACTGATGAGACAGATTTTGTTTGCTGGGTGCAGTTATAGGCTCCTCAGTACAAGACAGACATGGACACACTGGAGCAAGTACAGCGAAGGGCCGCTAAGACGATTTAGAGACTGGAGCATCTGACATACGAGTTGGGACTGTTCAGCCTGCAGAAGAAGAGGATCAGGGGGATCTTAATAACATCTATAAAAACCTGATGAGGTGAGTAAAGAGGACAGAGTCAGGTTCTCCTCAGTAGTGCCCAGTGACAGGACAAGAGGCAATGGGCACAAATTGAAATACAAGGAATTCCATTTAAATGTAAGAAAAAACTTTTTTACTGTCAGGCGGTCACACACTGGCACAGGTTGCCCAGAGAGGCTGCGGAGTCTCCATCCTTGAAGATATTCAAAACCTAACCGGACAAGGACCTGGGCTACCAGCTCTAGGTGACGCTGCTTTGAGGAGGGGAGGTAATGTAGGTGATCTCCAGAGGTGCCTTCCAGCCTGAACTATTCTGCAATCTGTAAACAGTAATGTAGGTAACAACATAAAAATCTTCAGCATGCCAGAAAATTGCAAGATTACCTTTTTCCTATAACATTCATGTTCTGAAAACCATACAAACAGCTTTAACAGAATAATTGACTCAAGAAGTCAATTTGGTTTCTTAGAAAATCCACTTCCACAGTGCCAATAAAGCACTTGATAAACTTTCACGGGCTTTGAAACAGAGTTAATAAGAACCTCTTTGAAGTGAAAAAGACTAGTTTAGTCTGACAAAATATCAACAGCAAGCAGGACCATTTTGTATGTGGAGACAAGTCACTGAACAAACACAATCATGGGAAGTTCTACTTCAGAAGAACATTAGTTTCCACACTCTTCTTTCTGTCTAGGAAGTCAATAGGAGCTTTACCTGAAAAAAACATGTTCTACCTCATGCGTTAATACAGCACAGACTGTGCAAGAAAACAACAGAGCAAATGCACTCTTACCTGATCTTGGGTTTTTTGGCTAATTTGAATCTGTAGAATATAGCATGGACTTCAATTACTACCTACGAATACTCCTCAAAAACCTAAGCTTAACTAATACCTCTCTGACATTCTCCCTTTCAAGATGAATACTTTTAATTAAAAAAATAAAAATTAAAATTAAAAAAAAATCCTTCCCAAATCCTCTAAATCATCTGAAACAATAATTTCCTATAAGTATGACAAGTTGCAGGAAATTTTGAGTCACAGTATTTCCTTGAACTAACAACATTTGTTCCTTTACAGAAGTTTTTCCACAATAGCTTTATTGAAGATGAAAAGCTTATTTGTGATATAGAGAGAATATGCATTAAAAGGAATGGTACAAATCTAGTAGGAACAGTAAGTCTAACAAACTAGTTTAATTTATTTGTGAGGGAATTTGTCTTTATTTGTTATTTTACTTACACTATTATGATTTTGGAACCTACTAACTTCTGAATACTCAGTTCTGTAAGAACATGATTCCTATTACAACTTGTGTATTAAGATTGGTCATTATGTCATAACGAACGGCATATTACCATTGTAGCTTCTGAAGTTCCTGCAAAACCAACATGTTCTATTGTGCATCATATAAAAATAAGGAAACTTGTTAATATGATATATTTTATTATGTAAGGTATAGGTTCTGTTTTTTCCATGTGGTATTTCTGAATTTTTCGAGTAGGTCTTCTCTGGTGGGAAATCTGCCATTTTTACAGTAGGTTGAATACAGAGGAAAGACGCTAAACCTCTTTTTTTGCAACATTTGCATTTGCTCCTCCATACAGGTTCTTCATTTGGAATACATCGAATCTGTATCACTGATTGCCCTGTACGGGAAAACAAACCAAACCCAGGAGCTTACTATCTACAACAGACAGCACGTTTTAAATATTTTAATGTAATAGATGATAATACTATGAATTTAAGGTTACATAACAATCTTGCAGCAGCCATCTCTTGGCTTATATATTAAGGAAAAACAGATGGAGGGTGAGAACTGGTGAAGAACTGGTAATTTGTGCAATACAAACAACATGATTGAGTACAGGGAGCGCAGCATGAGGAAGGCAGAGAGATAAGAGGAAGAATATGCA